TGTGCATCATGGGATAGTAATTTCTATTCTTTTAATTATCCCTTGGGCAGTGTATTTCCAATGCCGTGAACGTTGTCAAACTACTAACCTCCGATTTAGCTGATTGAGTTATGAATTTTTAAAATTCAAATGAATCTTTCATATGTTACTGAAACAAATTTTCCTTCTAGTCGGTTTAGAGTTGGGTGTATTACTTTACACAGTATATACACAGGATGTGACGTCATATATCACGTGACCTGAGAAAAACTGATACAATTCCTCCTAATTTGACTCAAAAGATAAATGTATATGTTTGATATATGTGACCGTGTAGAAATGGGACGCAATTTTATTAAGCGTAATGTCAGTCAAACATGGGAAAGCAAACCTTTACCAAAATTAAAAGTTTTCTTGATTTATGTTACTTTGTTATTATTATTATTTTTTGCTTTTGTTGTTGTTTTTTTGGTTTGTTTGTTTGTTCCTCATTTTGATTGCAGTTTTGTTTTATTCACAGTGCACTAATATATAAAAAAATATATATTTACGACGATTGGCTTATTATCAAAATTTTTATTTATCCAAGAATAAATTATGCAATATCTCAGCCTTCGAACATATTTTTCACAAATTTATTGATATTGTATAGTAAGAGATTTATTTTCGGCTGACATCTTGAAAGGTCATTATGACAGGACGTCAGTGGTGGTAGCCTAGTAATCTAGCGCATGTACGTGAGAGGTTCCTTTATGTAGTATCTGGTAGAAGGGAAAGTAATTTATTGATTTGCTTATAGGTTCAAGCGGCTGGACGTACTCCAACAATGCTTTCCTGTTCTCAATGTACAATACACGTGGCTACTATCCTATCAAGTTACCTCTTGTTAGATATCGACAGACTGCTATATATAGAGGTAGTAGTTATGGTCCTACATTCGGACATGACATGTACATATCTAACCATGCATCGAGTTACGCTAATAGTTATTTTCAAGTGTACTCATACAAAGCCCCGCCTGGCTGCAGCTACGGTTATTACTGCTCGTTCTACACAGGCAACAGTCACTTTACACCGAGTGACATCGAAGTTTTCTATAAAACAACCAACTAGTAATCAAAAGTTTTTAAACCTAGAAGCCCAAGAAACCCTTAAGTTCTCAAAACTTGAAGCATTAATTTTTCAGTAGAGGAACAAAGAAATATTCCATTTTGTAATGGCGTAGGACCCTACAATATGGGATATTTGTGAATAGTTGAATTTTATAATTAATTATAATAATGTGTACTCATTTGTTAAGAAAAGGGTCTGGTAAGTTATAATAGTGTTAATTACAAGGTTTATGAAGTTATTGCAAACAATAAACATTTTATCGAATGTATTTATTATTATTATTATTAGTTATGATTATTTTTTGTTAGATTTGTGATGCAAAGTCTCGGCAGTACTGTACTGTACCCACAGTAAGCAGTAGTAGTCAGTAAGTAGTAGCTGGGAGTAGTGGTTAGTAAGTAGTAGCGAGGAGTAGTCGTCTGTAAGTAGTAGCGGGGAGTAGTCGTCCGTAAGTAGTAGCGGGGAGTAGTGGTTAGTAAGTAGTAGCGGGGAGTAGTGGTCAGTAAGTAGTAGCGGGGAGTAGTGGTC